GATTTCTTTGGATGTGGCTGGGGGGTTATGTAACGCTCCTGTAAAACTCTAATTAGAGCCCTTTTCCTCGGGAGCGAGGGGGTGGCTCCGCTTCAGCTGGGGTTGGTGTCCAGCAAGCGGGAGAGGACCCTTGCATAAAAAACGCCAACTTTTATTAATCCTGCTCCAGCTCTTCTTCAGTTCCTGGCTGCCGCTGGTGTTCCTGCGGGCAGGGGCTCCGAGCGTGTTTTCATGGGACAGCTCCGAGCACGTTTGATTAACGCAGCGTTTTACACGTGCAGTCGTGAGCCCGTTGTCTGCGTGCCTGTGCTCCTGCCGCTGACCGGGGTTGAAGGGGCTCCGGTGCGTCCGCGGCGTCTGTGACCACATAAAGCCCGAGTTCTGCTCTGGCTGAGCCTGAGCTGCTGAGGGGCGGCAGGTAAGGAAGGGCGGGTGTCAAAGGAAAGCGAAGCTTCAAACCCCAGAGGAGGGTGAAGTCTTTTAATAACTCGTTTGTGTTTCAGAAAACTGTGCTTCAGGTTTCTTCTGAAATAGAATTTGGCATTTAGCAATCCTCGGTATACTGACTTGTAAAAAGCAGGGGCATAACTGAGGGGAATAGTGGAAGAAGAGGGGTTTTGTGGGTTGGAAATAAGGTTGAGAGTAACAAGATGGAACAACAACTGAAAGCTGCATGGACACTTTTTGTCTGGCTTTCAGTGAGACTTTGGGGCAAAGTGAGATCACCAAAAGTAGCCTATAGAAATAAAGAATCGTATCTGAGGTGGGTGCATAGAGCTCAAGGAGTGCACTCGCACCAGGTGTCAGCATAAAATTTATCTTATGAGTGTGAAAAATAAGTAGGTAGGGGTTTTTTTAGTAGGTGGTCTAGCATAAGGGAGGGCAAATCAAGAATTTCAGGGTATTGGGGGTGGGGGTGATGGATGTTCTCAGAAGCCGCATACAGGCGAGCTAGAGCCCAAAGGTGGGGTTTTGAGGAAGCAAACAGGAGGTGGCTCTGCGTCTTGTCCTGTGATCCAAAGCCAGGTTCTGCTGGAAAACAAAAAGCAGCCTTGGCACCGCAAAGGCGAGGTGCCTGTGGAGGAGCCGGGGGCGCAGCGGGGGGGTGTACGTGGCACGGGTGTTTGGGAGCAGGCCCTCAGGGAGAGGGGGGTTGCGGGGTGAGACGCGGCATCACCCCGCGTCCCAGGGAAGGATCCTGCGGCGTGGCAGGCAGCACTCTCTTCCAGGAGGCAGCTCTAGGCTTAGGGTGCTCTGGTCGTTTGTTAGATCAGCTTTTTCTTTCTTATGCCAGAAAGATTTTATTTAAAGTACTCTTAATGTGCGTAAGGAAGTCTGTAAGGGCTTGCATGTGTGAGTGGGAAGACTCTTAACGCCACAAGATTGTGACGTGCTGCTGGATTTACTGCTGTTCGGAATAGTTGAAGATTACCCAAAAGATCTTTTTAGTTGCTCTTTAATAGAACTGTCAGATACCGATTTGCTCTTGACTGTTTTAGTCTCCAGTAGCACTGGGGTGGGTGGCTATGGCTGCTCAAAGCCTGGATTGGGCTGTTCCCAGAAGGTGA